TTTGGTAACAATCTTAGGCGTGGGACTTGACGATCATTACACTTTCCCAAGTGGGTTATAACAAGGCTCATTGAGCAGCATCCACAATCACCATCATCTAGAAGGACAAGGGCAGAAGATCATAGGAACACCATCCCCTGCAAGTTCCCCTCCGCGCCCTACATACGCCATTCTGACTTGGAAATATAATTGGCCATTCCTTCAGTGCCGATGGGTCAAAATCCTGGAACTCCCTCCTCAACAGTACTGTGGGAGTCTCTACACCACATGGACTGCAATGGTTCAAAGTGGCACCTCGCCCCCACCTTCTCAAGGGGCAATTAGGGATGGGCAACTAGGGTTAGGCAACAAATGTTGGTCCAGCCAGCACCTCTCACAAGCCATGAACAAATAGCAAAAACCTCTTACTCCGCAGATTGTTTTAAATATCAGAGGAGTTCCATGCTCTTGCCAAACTCTTGATTAAATATGTTTGTCCTGAGCTGGTTCTTTTGTAACTATGGCCCCTAACGAAAAAGTGGAAATAACACTTTTGTTTGCGGACCTTTTGTTTTAAAAGAATGGAATTGTACGAGCTGGACAAAGGTAAATCCACCAAGGGCTTTCTGAGGAGACGAGAACTAAATACAAATATAACAAATCACACTCAGAAGTTTCCCTGAAGCCACACAGTGATTTTTCATGGAGGATGCAGCAGTGTTGTTAAACCAGCTCTTTGCCTCCCAAGTATCAGCCCTCAGTAAGTTATTGTAAACAGCCAGGTGACAGACAACCTCCGAGAGATCATTGTTGGTGTCAGAGATGAGATACAATTCAATAAGCAATCTAAATACTTTATTTTGAAAAAGCAAGAGGCAAATGAGGGAAAACAAAGACTAGATTGATTTAATTTCAGCATGATGCATTGTTGCAAACATGGTATCTGAGGCTGCAGAATGCTATTGGATCACAAGATGTGGATTATTATTTTCTTGGGTTGTAGGCATCACTGGCAAGACTGGCATTTGTTACACCCTCCCCCCCCCCCCCCCCCCCCACCCCCACCCCCAATGCCCATTGAACTGGGTGTCTCGCTCAGGCCATTTCAGACGGTGGTTAAGAGTCAGCACCCTCTGAGGGACTGGACTCACTGGTAGGCCCAGACCAGGTCAGGACGACAGATCTCCTTCCCTAGAGTATGTTCATGAACCAAATGACAGTCAATGATAGCTTCCTGGTCACCATCACAGAGACTAGTTTCATTGTGATTAGATTGTGGTGATGGAAGATGTACACGCATCCCCAGTGCATTAGCCTGGGCCTCTCAGATTACTAGTCCAGTGATATGACCACTACCCCACCATCTCGCCAAAATCCACTGGGTTTGCTGCTGATCCCGTCAGTACCTGTACAAACACTCAGTGCTACCTCTAAGATCGCCCAGTCGTGGACTGATGTACCACCCACTATGGGAGCAGGTTCCATGTTCTGCCTGCTCTCTCGGGGAAAGAAGTTTCTCCTGATTGTATTTACTAGTGTCTGTTTCATACAGACATCCCCTCATTTTGGCACACCCCACTTCCGAAAAGGGAGAACACTTTCTCTGCACCTACCCTATCGAACCCCTTCCCTAAGTCTAAAATCCTCAAATAGGTCACACCCTTCTCTTTGAGAGAAAAGAGCTGTGGCCTGTCTTTCCTCATCATTTTCAGCACTTTTGCAGCCTCTCAATAACCATTCTGTAGAATGGTGGAAATTGCATGTGGTCTAACCAAGGTGATACATAAGTGTTATTTCTGCTTTTTTTAAATTATATTTCTGTGGAGTGTTAGACAAGTATTTTTTTTAAATCCTACTCCTCTTCTGACACATGGATTAATCAGATGAAAAACAACAATTGAAGGGAGAGCGAGGCCACTGGGGCTGCAGTGCAATGTGTTAGAACTACCATGGCAACTGATCTTTCGACCCGAAGACCTCAACAATTCACCAAAGACACACATTTTCTTATATCGTCCCCGAATCAAAACCAGAGATTTCAGAATATTATACGATTTGTTGTCTTTCACCCGTACCCACTGCAGTTAGTCATTTCCATCCCTGCCTCATGGAGTTCACCCCCAAGCTGTGCTTCCACATACCCTGCCTCACCAGAATGGGGTATCACTAGATTACAGCAGACAGCCAGACCACATTTCACATTCCCTCCTTTAGAAAGCAGCAACATATCTTGCAAACCCCACACTCCATTTTCACACAGACCAGAGAAAATCTTTCTTCTCTCCCCAATGTACAAAACCACCACCAACACTCCAAGGATAGGTGTAGCATCGAGTTTGGTGCTCACTCAACTTTTAAACAGAAAGTAGGGCTTCTTCAACTCTTTTAAACTGAAAGCAAGGGCTACTCTACTCTTTTAAACTTAAAAGTAAAGCTCACTCTGTGCTGTCCCCATCAAAGCCAGGGACACAGTCCACACGGGGTTAGACACACAATAAAGCTCTCTCTATTATTTTAATCTGAGGGTGAAGCTCCCTCCACACTGACCCCATCAAACATTCCCAGAATAGGGACAGCACAGGGTTAGATACATAGCAAAGATCCCTCCACATTGTCTCCATCAAACACTCCCATAACAGATACAGCACTGCATTAGATATCCCAGCATTCTTTCCTAATTTCAATAGAACGACCATGGAGACAGAATTTTGTTTCGCACACCTGCTGTCCCTCTTGGTTCCTGGGTGAGAGACTGAAGATTTGAAACAGGTGTGAACATACGGGCAGTCTCCATTACCCGCCAGTTAAGAGGCTCAGTGTGAGCCCTCACAGCAGTGACTGTTAGATTTCCATCTGCCAGTGGGGTCTGGGTCGCACCACAGCTGAGACATTCACTGACCATCTGAGAACTCTTGCAGTACTCCCCTTGCCCGACACCCACCTGCAGGTACACAGCCCCCACACAATCCGGCACTCAAGACCAGACTGCCAGCCCTGCTTTGGGAGCCTCCGCTCATTGCAAGGCACCAAGCACCTAGCTATGCTTGAGATCCATGTACACTCTGTGGCCTCACACAGCCAGTCTGTGGAGATTAGAACACAGCACACAGACAAGACAGATATGAAAACACAGGAAATATACAGTGAAAGGAGACTGTAAATATGTACAATAGGGCTGGGCTTCCAGCAAGAATTGAGACGACAGAGAATTCAATCGCACTCAACCGTTTTGATTTCTGTACCGTTTAAAATTTCTTAAAAAAGAATCACTTGTCTCCGAGTTGCTGCCTGTATGATTGGCAGCAGTTTGTCTGTCTGCAAAGGGCAGCAGTGGCAGTAGACAGTGCCCAGCAGTAGGCACTGTCCATTGACTGGAGATGCCTTCTCTTGGGTAATGATCGAAATCCCTGGCTAACTGACTGCTGCCCTGCACTGACAGCAAACAAAAGCAAGAATGGTAAAGAGAGGGCAGGCAGCGTCCGTTGGAGAACAGCCCCATATTGCTTCAGACTCCGGTGGAGAGCGAGCATTCGGCAGAATGTAACTCATTAAAGAAAGACCCTCCATTGTGAGCTCAGTGCTCAAGAACTGAGCCATTCATTTAAGAATAATGTTTTTAATCTGCTTCAAATTTCATTTTACTACCCTACAAGTTAACTTCTGCTCTAGAACATCAAATTCAATATTCCTTTAGACTTTGGTTTACTTTAGCTCCCTCATTGGCAACATTGACTATCAAACCCATCCTCCATGGTTGGCGATAGGTACCCCTCCAAAGGTGGCACTAGACTCCCTTCTCTCTTGCTATCTAACCCTCGCACCCAACCCCCCTCCCCCACCATGGTACTGACCCGCACCCCCCCACCAAGCCAGCAGTACCAGGCTCCTTTCCTAACTTGCATCATTGTATCACCTTCCTCCTCCTCCTCCCCACCACCAAACCAGCAGCAGGGTGAGGACTCAACTTGCTCAACCTTTGAATTAAAGGAGTTTTGGTACAAGGTCCTTTAGAGAGGGATTGGCTAAACAGAGAGAGAGGTGTGGGGAAAGAGTTAAGAGAGAGAATGGTTAAAAAGGAGAGAAATGCAAGACGGGAGGAGACAGAGAGAGAGAGAAAAGGAAGAAGTAGAAGGGAGGTAGACAAAAAGAGAGAGAAGGGAAGACAGACAGCAAGAGGAAAGAGAGCAAGAGGAAAGACAAAGAGACAAGGAAAAAGAGAAATGGATGACAGAAAGAGAGGGGTTGAGAGGGGATAGGAGTGATGGACAGAGGGAAAAATGAGAGAGGGAACAGAGAGACAGGAAAGCAAAAGAAAAAGCAAGACAGAAGAGTGTGAGAGATTAAGAATGAGAATGAAGAAACAGCAAAAACAAAAAAAAAAAAAAAAAAATCGCAGTGTACTTTTAGCAAGTAAAATCCTCATTTAGAAGGTAGCCAGCTTCCCTGCAGAGTCACGCTCAGGGGCGCAGATTGAATTATCTGTTGCAGAGAAAGGAAGTTGAAGTGTTTCGGGTGGGATTCCCACAGTCCAGTCACAGAGCCAGCACTGCAGAGGCTTGAGCTGATAACTAAAGTCCCATTCCCTGCTGCAGACCAGAGGCTGCCAACTGCTGCAAATGGAGGCTCTGTATGAGATTTGCTCACAAAGAACAGCATTTTGTTTTGGAGGAAATATGGGAGAGACAGGTACAAATAGAACAGCTGCTTAGGCTGGACCCATCACATTTTGTGGGACTGCCTTGTTCCATGTTTTAGATCCACCCCCCAAATTCCAGGGGCTAGATAAAACCCAGGAGAAGCAGCGATATACATCAAATGGCCTGGCCTGAGGAGAAGGATGAGGGCATGTCCGTGTTGGTGGGGACAGCAGAAGAGAAAGTCAGAGAAAGAGAGGCAGACAGGAGTGGAGAAGTAAGAGATCGGTGAAGAGAGGGGTTTGAAGAGAGAGAGAGAGAGAAAAAGAAAAAGAGGGGGGGGGGGGGGGGGGGGGGGTAAGTAGAGAGAGAGAGAGAGAATGGGGTGCAAAGCATTCCACCATCACCAGCGCTCTGGACATGTTGGGGGAAATACCTTTCCGCCAGGGCCAGTGCAAGCAATGGGAGATGAGAAAATGAGATCTGAGATGTTTCTGCTTCTGTGCTCAGCACCTGCAAGTGAGGGGCTCTGAACCACCAGATCCTACAGTGAACCTTTCACTAAGGAGCCCAATTCCAGGAGGAGTTGTGCCAATGAGAAGCTAGATTCCCACCAGTAATTGAGTCTCAGTTTGATCTGAAGTGTGTAATATAAATAAATGTACAGGAACACTTTTGTAGGTACTATGCTGCGCTGCTACTTAGTGTTGATTGCTGATTGCGTCTGCACAGCAGAAACGCAAAGCTTAAATTTTGCGATACAGGAGTGCTCCCACATTGGCAGAGACGGGCCCGTACTCCATCACTTCTTGAAGAACTTCTTGTTGAGCAGAAAGATCAGGAGGTTGACGTTGACCTTGGCTTTGTCGAACATCTTCATCACTGCCACTCCTTCATATTGCAGCTGGAGAAGGTCCTGGCAGGAGCAGAGAACAGAGATCAGGGCTCCCAAACAAACATCGAAAACTGGAGTAGGAGGCCATTCAGCCCTTTGAACTGCCCCGTGATCACAGCTAATCATATAACTCAGTCTCTTGCTCCCACTTTCTCCTCATACCCTTTGACCCCTTTAGCCTTAAAAACTGAACCTAACTCCCTCCTGAAAACATTCAACTTTAAGAGATGTAGAAATTCGGAGCAGGAAAAGGCCATTCAGGCCTTCGAGCCTGCTCCACCGTTCAATACAATCATGGCTGATCATCAACCTGTTCCTATTCTAACTTTTTGATCCATTTAGCCTGAACAACTATCTAATTCCTCCCTGAAAACATTCAGTGGCTGGACCTTGATTGCTTTCTGCAGCAGAGAATTCCACAGGTTCACCACTCTCTGGGTGAAAACATTCTCCTCAGGTTCGCTTCATTGCCATAACAACTTACACTCATCCATCAGCCTTAATGCAGTAAATATCTCAGGGCACTTTTTAAACAAAAAAACAGCATATGGGTAAAGCCAGTGTTTGTTGACCATTAATAATTTCTCCTGAACGGAGTCTTGCTTGGTCATTTCTGATGGCAGTTAGGAGTGGACCTGTGGGACTGGAGTCACGAGTAGGACTAGATTGGGTAAGGATGGCAGATTTCCTCCTCTGTTAATGAACCCAATGGGGTTTCACCACAGTTAACAAAGTCTACCGAGTCGCTGTTTGTGAAGTTTTGTAAAACAAAATTCCAGCTTTTTATTGAATTCCAATTCCACTGGGTCACAGTGGGATTCAAACTGACGACCCCAGAACGATATCTTGGGGTTTTGGATTACCAGATTACTATGCCATCACCTCCACAGGCAAACTCTAGGAGCTATATGGGCCCGCTCTTACTTGTGTGTTTTCTGCAATGGTACAGCGTTGCTTCCTAACACATGTTAGGCACACTGGATAAGATGTGTCACTGCCCTCAGTGCATTTCACACTAATGTTACAGTACAGGAGACTTTGAACATAGCAGACAACACTATTGGCTGTATTTCCCCCCTTCTCTCTGCTCCCCAACCGCTGAAGGCTCAAACATGTACTACGCTACTGTCCTAAGCTTCCCTCCAGAAGTAGGCGGTCAACAAGAACGAGCTGGAAAGCAGGAACAGCCAACACCGGCTGGACTGTGAAGGAGGACAGATACTTAGGCACAGATCTCAGCTGCAACAGGAGTACAAACAGAGACAAACACAAAATCACTGGAGAAGCTCAGCAAGTCCAGCAGCATCCGAGGAAAGAGAAATAGAGTTCATGTTTCAAGTCCAGTGACCCTTCTTCAGAAACAGAGCTGTTTGATCTCCTTATCCACACTGACAGTGTGAATGAAGGTTCACCAGAATGGTTCCTGGGGATGGCGGGACTGTTCTGTGCAGAGAGGTTGGGCAAACTTGGCCTGTATTCTCTGGAGTTTCAAAGAATTGAGAGGTGATCTCATTAAAACCTATAAAATACTGAAAGGGTAGATGCAGGTAAGATATTCAAACTTTTGGCAAAGATCTGTAGCTCAGGTTTTGGGTGAGGTTGTTGACTTGCTTGCCAAGCTGGCTTGTTCTTGTTCAGATGTTTTGTTACCATGCTAGGTGCCATCATCAGTGGAGCCTCTGATGACTTAGACTTAGGCTCTTAGACTCCCTTCAGTGTGGAAACAGGCCCTTCGACCCAACAAGTCCACACCGACTCTCTCAGCATCCCACCCAGACCCATCCCCCTTCAACCCACCTAATCTACACATCCCTGAACATTATGGGCAATTTAGCATGGCGAATCCACCTAGCCTGCACATCTTTGGATAGTGGACAACACTTTATGTTAATTGATTGCATTACGGGTGGAGAACCACGCGTCTAGGAATTCCCATGTGCGTCTATGTTTGGCTTGGACTACTATGGTTACCTTGTCCTAGTTGAACTGATGGCCTTCATTGTCTGAGTGTACCAATATTAAGGAGAGTTCGTCGTGCCATTTTGCTGCTAGTTGATGCAATTAACACCCGTAATGCAATCAACAAACACATAGAATTGGACCCCATACACAAACCCATACAGATCAAAACCAGAAATGACACTACTGACCATAACGGACCAGACAGTATAAATTCCAAGTGGAGTAGAATAACATTGCTTCATTGGAGGCCTCACTGATGATGTCACCTCGCATGCTGATGAAACATCTGAACAAGAACAAGCCAGCTTGGCGAGCAAGTCAACAACCTCGTGGGTAAGATATTTCCCTTTTTTGGGGAGTATAGGGGGCACAACTTAAAAAATAACGGGATGCCAGTAAGGGTGAAGATGAGGAGAATGTTTTGTTTTACTCACAGGATTACAAACCTTTGGGATTCTCTACCACAGAGGGCTGTGGAGGCTCAGTGTTTGACTGTGTTTTAGAGAGAGATTGATAGATTTCTAATTACCAGTAGCATACAGGTTAATAGGGAGAGGGTAAGCAAAAACTATTGAAGTGAACATATTGAAGTATGACGATACTAAGGTGGGTCACGTTGTGGACAGTGTGGAGGGCTGTTCTAGGTTACAAAGGGACATTGATAGAATGCAGAGCTGGGCTGAGAAGTGGCAGATGGAGTTTAACCCTGAAAAGTGTGAGGTGATTCATTTTGGAAGGACAAACTTGAAAGCAGAATACAGGGTTAACGGAAAGATTCTTGGCAATGTGGAGGAGCAGAGGGATCTTGGGGTTCATGTTCACAGTTCCCTGAAAGCTGCTACCCAGGTGGCTAGAGTTGTTAAGAAGGCGTATGGTGGGTTAGCTTTCATTAATATAGGGATCGAGTTCGAGAGCTGTGAAGTTATGCTCCAGCTATACAAAAGCCTGGTTCGGCCACGTCTGGAGTATTGTGTCCAGTTCTGGCCACCTCATTACAGGAAAGATGTGGAAGCGTTGGAAAAGGTGCAGAGGAGATTTACCGGGATGTTGCCTGGAATGGAGGGAAGGTCTTACGAGGAAAGTTTGAGAGAGCTAGGGCTTTTCTCTTTAGAACGACGAAGGATGAGAGGTGACTTGATAGAGATGTACAAAATGATCAGAGGTATAGATAGAATAGACAGCCAGAGAGGTAGCTTTTACGAAGGGACATAGTTTTAAAGTGAAAGGAGGTAGATATCGGGGAGACGTCAGAGGTAGGTTCTTTACTCAGAGAATGGTAGGGGCGTGGAATGCATTGCCGGAGAGGGTAGTGGAGTCGGCCTCATTAGAGGCCTTTAAGCGGCTATTAGATAGGCATATGGATGATAGTATAAGGTAGCGGTGGAGGTTAGATAGACCTTAAGTTTCGGGTAAAAGTTCGGCACAACATCGTGGGCCGAAAGGCCTGTACTGTGCTGTACTGTTCCATGTTCGTTCAATCACTTACATTCATGTTGAACAGCAGAGCAGGCTTGATAGGCTGAATGGCCCATTCCTGCTCCTATGTTCCTTCCAGTTTTTCTTCCCTGATTTCTGATATCTGCTACTTTTTTTTTTGCTTCTGTTTGAGGAATATGAGCAGCATCCGCTAAAATCAATTCACTCGGGATAAAGCCTAACCGGTGATTCCTAGGCTCCCCCTCCAGAGTGTGTAGGGTAAACCCACTGGGTGGTGGTTGTACTTGTGAAGACCTCACCTGGTATTTGAGTTGGAACTTTTCCATGTCCACACCCATGAACCGAGCCTTTACATCAAAGGTTCCCACCTCCTCGCTCTGCACAATGTCAAAAATCACATTCCTGAATCTGGAACAAGATAAGAGACAAAGCTGACAACAGGAAATGGGTGAGCAGGACCCATCAGCCTTAACAGCAACACACCAGGTTTCTGCAGGCTGCTCCACATTCACCCAGCAGTACAGAAAATAAAGTAATAACAACTTGCATTTATACGACACCGAGGAGTAAGAAATAAAATTTGACACCCAAGCCAAATAAGAAGATATTAGGTTCAGTCAACTCAAAGTATGGGCAAAGAAGTCAGATTTTTAAGGAGCTTCTTAAAGGATGAAAGAAAGGAGAGAAAAAAAAAAAAAAAAAAAAAAAAAAACAATCGGTGGGAGGCATAGAGAGGTTTAGGGGTGTAATTCCGTAGCTTAGGTCCCCAGACAGCTGAGGTTGCGACTACGAATTGTACAGAAGAACAAAACAAAAGAACAAAAGAACAAGAGAGAAGTACAGCACAGGAACATGCCCTTTAGCCCTCCAAGCCTGTGCCGATCATCATGCCCTAACTAATCTAAAAAAAACAAACCTTCTGCCCTTATTCGGTCCATATTCCTCTATTCCCTCCCTATTCATGTAACCATCCAGATGCCTCTTCAATGTGCCTACTTCCACCACCTCTGCTGGCAATGCGTTCCAGGTTTCTTACCACTCTCTGCATGAAAAACTTCCCTCGCACATCTCCCTTAAGCTTTCACCCTCTCACCTTGAACCGGTGTCCCCTCATAATTGAAACTTCAACCCTGGGAAAAAGCCTCTGACTATCCACCCTATCTATGCCGCATTATTTTGTAGACCTCTGTCAGGTCTCCTCTAAGCTACCGTCTTTCCAGTGAAAACAATCCTAGTCTTTTTAAACCTTTCCTCATAGCCAATGCTCTCTAAACCAGGCAACATCCTGGTGAACCTTTTCTGCACTCTCTCCGAAGCTTCCATGTCCCTCTGGTAATGTGGCAACCAAAACTGCACACAATACTCCAAATACAGCCTAACAAGCGTTTTATATAGCTGCAACATGGTTTGCCAACTCTTGTACTCCATGCCCTGAATGATGAAGGCAAGCATGCCAAATGTCTTCTTAATCACCTTGGCCACCAGTGTTGCCACTTTTAGGGAACTATAGACCTGCAGGCCCAGATCCATCCGTATGTTAATGTTCCTAAGGGTTCTGCCATTTACAGTATAATTCACACCTAAATTTGATCGTTCAAAATATATCACCTCGCACTTGTCTGGATTAAACTCCATCTGCCATTTCTGTGCCCAAGTCGCCAAACTATCTATATCCTGTTGTAACCTTTCACAATTGTCAGCACTATCAGCAACTCCACTAATCTTTGTGTCATCTGCAAACTTACTAATCAGACCACCCACATTTTCCTCCAGATCATTTATATATACTGCAAACAAGAGAGGGCCTAAGACTGATCCCTGTGGAACACCACTAGTGACCAGTCTCCATTCTGAAAAATATCCTTCCACCAGTACCCTTAGTCTTCTAAGACCAAGCCAGTTTTGCATACATCTAGCCAGCCCACCCCAAATCCCATGTGAATTTAGTTTTTGTACCAAACTGCCAGATGAGACTTTATCAAATGCCTTACTAAAGTCCATATAAACTACATGATGGTAGTATTGGTGGTAATGTCTGAGACATTGAAATTGGAGGAATGAATAGCTACTGTAAGAGCTGGAGGAGGTGGCAGAGATAGGGAGGGGGTGTAGGGGGCTGGAGGAAGTGAGAGATAGGGAGCAGTGTAGGGGGCTGGAGGAGGTGGCAGAGATAGGGAGGGGGTGTAGGGGGCTGGAGAAAGTGAGAGATAGGGAGCAGTGTAGGGGCCTGGAACCCTGAGGCTGGTACAGAGATGTGGAGGGTTGTGCACATGAGAGGAGATTACAGAGATAGGAAGGAGCCCAAAGACCATGGAGGGATTTGAAATCCAGATGAGAATTTTAAAATTGAGATGTTGTGTCAAACAAGATGACAGTGCTCTGGGAGTGTTCACATCAGTTTGACAGTGATTGACGGAGTAGTATGTGTAGTGAAAAGAAAGAATTATTTCAAAATTCTCATCCTCGTTCATCAGCCTCCTGCTGACCTTGCACCTTCCATCCCTCTGGAAGACCGAGACCAAATGGGTTGAAAGCAAATGTGTGAACTTATCCAATCGCCTACAAGTGAAACCCAAACGGTTTCCTGTTGACGTAGCTCACTGTACGATGTGACGTGTATCGGATCAAGCTCAGCAGTGGGCCACATGGCACAGACTTGGACATGTGGCCAGAATTGTCATACGACATTTGGAAACAGCCAAAACAAAGTTGCATTTCCATTAATGCCATTCACCATCTCAGGGCGCACCCCCAGAGCACTCGGCAACCAATGCTCACTTATCCAGGGCAACAAACTGCCTCCAGCTTGGATCATGCTGCAGTATGAAGACACAAACACAGTCTCTCATTATCTGTATTTAAAACAGAGTGCCCAACAATAACTAAGATCTTGTCAAGATTCAAACAGTGGTCCGGCGCTACTGGCACCCATCAGCACACCTGAATTGAGGCGCATCATTCAGACTCTGGTTTCTAGGCCAGGCAGTTGGATAGACAACCAGTGGAAGGACACTGTTCCATTCAATCCTGCTAACGATTGAAGCAGGTTGGCACAGCACAGACCCCCTCAGAGTGAAGGGGCTCAATTCACTTCTGTGGCTCTGAGTTTGCACAAAGCTCGCTTACGGGCACTGAAATGTATCATTGTTTCAAAAAAAAAAATGCAGCCCTGGACTTACTGGCTGATGGGCAGGTCTTCGATCTCCAACAGCACGCCCTTCTCTCGCAGGTGTGCTGCAGTATAGTTCAGGGATGGCGCTTTAGCTTTCTTTCCTTTGCTCGCTGCAGCTTTCTTCCCCAGGCCCCTGCACAAGGTCACAAGAGGTTACTCACAGAACAGCAGCCTCAGCTACCGCAAGCAGCAGAGTCGAACACTCCTTGCCCGTTCAACATCAAGGATGGAGAAACAGCTGCGGTTCACAGTTCAGGCAGGCAATCTTGATGCGGAACAACACACCGGTTCGGAGCCATTCGGCCCTTTTAACCTAGCCTGCCATATAATAAGACTGTGGCTTATTGCCACATTCCCACCTACACAGCATTCCCAACCTCGAGCTGCTGGAATAGCCTACCCCCGCTCCCAAATCATGCATTCACTCTGATTTTCCTCTCCACCCGGGCTGCCTGACCTGCTGAGTAATTCCCAGTAATTCTCTGTCGGCAATTCAAATTTCCAACATCCGCAATTCTTTTGCTTGTTGTACGAGCACCACACAGAGAGTGTGTGCTGCCTGATTATCGACCTGCTCTGTGTTTCCTGTGACCAGTGGGCCACGGTACCAGCTGTGACAGACCGGCTCATGCCAATTGGTGAGTCGCCACATGCAGTCAGACACTTACTGCCCGTTGGTGGCCAGGTTATCCAAGCAGGTTTTGATGTACCGGTTGTAGTAGTCGATCTGCTCCTCGTAAAAGGCAGTCTTGGAATTCATTCTGTGCAGTGTCTCTCTCAGCTTGGCCAGCTCAGCCTTGCGCTGCTGCCTGTAGCGCCGCTGATTTTGGATGTCCTGAGATGACGGAGAGAACAGAGCATGAGGTAAAGAGCTCATTTGCCTTCCTTGGAGTGACACAGAATACACTTTACGGAAACTGCCTTATTTGGCTGTGCGGCAAGTAGAGATGGGCAATAAATGCTAGCACAGGAAGTAATGCCTGCATAGAGTCATACAGCACGGAAACAGACTCTTCCGTCCAAATCATCTGTGCCAACCAGACATCCCAATCTGACCCAGTCCCATTTGCCAGCATTTGGTCCATATTCTTCTAGACCCTTCCTATTCATGTACCCATCCGGATGCTTTTTAAATGTTGTAATTGTACCCGCCTCCAAGAGCGTAGAATTTAAATAAGTCCATGCTCCTCCTATCCTTCATTATCCGTCAGCAGGAGACTGCGGCATAGTGGCAATGTCTCTAGTCTTGTAATCCAGAGGTCTGAACTCATATCCTGGGGAACTGCGTTCGAATCCCATTACGGCCCCCTGGCGGAATTTAAATTCAATGAATCAAATGCGGAATTGGAAGCTAGTCTCAGGGATGGTGACCGTGACAACCGTCATCAAAACCCCATCGGGTTGACTAATGGGGGAAGGAAACCTGCATTCCTTACCTGGTCTGAGTCTTACTCATGACTCCAGGCCCTACAGTGATGGGGTCAACCCTAAACTGCCCTCAGCTAACCATAAATTGCTAACCATTCATTCAGTTTGAAGGGCAGTTAGGGATGGGCAACAAATGCAGACCATGCTCTGATGCCATTGTAGAAAGAGAAAAGGTAATAGAATTTTGCTGCCACCTGGCTGATCAGCGTCACAAGGGGACATGAGAAAGCTAATGGAGCAGACATTCACCTGCGGAGGCATCACTGCAGTCTCTGTTGAACAGCTGTAAACATCTCCCTGCGGAAACACAGCCGCTGATGTTTTACTTCCTCAGCACAGGCAACGTGAAGTCAAAATTAATCACACACTACACAGTATCGTACTTAGCCATACACTATAAACTCTGTGTCTGTTAGAAAATACTCTGCAATAGAACGTACTTCAACATAGTCCCTCAAATACAATCCTTTGTCCCTTCAGTTTACAATTTCAATTAAACACATCGAGCATTCAAATAATCTCAACATCTGCTAACAGCTGGAAGGAGCTGTGTTATATAACAATGGAGCAAGCTTCAATTATTCATTAGTGTGGCACTGACGGTCATGCAGATAATTCCCCAGGGAGGAAAAGAGGGAGAGAGAGAGAGAGAGAAGGGAGCCTAACAATTTAATTCATGGTGCACATTAACTGTTAGCAGGTTACAGTTCTCTTCAACAAACATTAGTGCATTAAGGCGAATGTAAACCTGGCAGAGGGATCTATTCCCTGTCTTCAACATGTCTAACATGAAACATTCCCAGCTCAGGGACAGCAAGGGATTAGGTACAGATTGAAACTCCCTCTACGCTGTCCCCATCAAACACTCCCAGGACAGGGGCAGCACAGGGTTAGATACAGAGTAAAGCTCTCTCTACACCATTCCCACCGTCAAACACCCCCACAGCATTGACAACAGTGGGTTAGATACACAGTAAAGCTCCTTCTACACTCTCCCCCATCAAACGCTCCTAGGCAGGGACAGTGCAGGTTTAGATAGAGTAAATTTCCCTCTATGCTGTCCCCCATCAACCACTCCTAGGACAAGGACAGCACGGGGTTAGATAAAGCATAAAGCTCCCCGTACATTGTCCCCCAAACACTCCTAGGACATGGGCAACATGGGGTTATATAAAGTGTAAAGCTCCATGTGCACCATTTCGGGAAGAGATTTTAGATGTGTTATAGTAAAATCATACAGTCCATGGCAAATTATTGCAAACCAAGTTCAAGTTATGTTTTATACCCTTTTGATGTGTTATTTCTCTGGACTCCCTAAGCCTGCCTACTGATCGCTGAGTCTCTTAGATAATCAAGTGTCCTTCGACCCAGGTATGATCACTTGTGAGTTTACACAGTCAAATAAGTTGTATTTGTGCTTCAGTTAAACTGGATAGAGTGAACGAAAGACCCAGATTAGATGGGGCGGTGATAAAGACTCGCTCCTCATCCAGCCCTCCTAAGCCAAGAAAGGGGTTTCTTATTCTCTCACCCTGGCAATCTCATTGACAAGTTGCTGGTAGCCATTGGCTGCAGAAATGACTCCAGCAGCTTCCAGCATCCTCAGGCTCCGGACAATTTTCCTCTTCTTCTCCTCAATTGACAGCTTGCCGTCGTGGACCAGGGACTGGTTTCGCTTCAGTTTCTCGGGAGTGCGCGCGTCTCGCAGCGCTCGCCTCTGAACAAGGCGGTGGTGGTCTGCCACCTAGATGAGGCGCAAAGGCAAAGAAACAGCAACAACAAAAGAAAAACAAAATCAGACAAACAGGTGAAAACACAAAGCCGAGTCTGCAATGGAAAACAAGCTCACCAGTTACACACTCTGGCACAAGCTCACATTGCCATTTACCTCCCGGTCAACCTTAAGATGACGCATGGAGTCAGCCTCAGGATAACTGGGAAACAGCCTGGTTAGGGCATCAGGTCCACTGTTCCAGCTACCCTCTTGGCATCTTAAAATTGTATGGCATCTGGGAGGGCACACGTGGGGAGAGGAGAGAGTTCTGAGGAAGGGTCACTGGACCGAAACATTAACACTGATTTGTTTTCTTCACTGATCTGCCAGACCTGCTGAACTTTTCCAGCAACTTCTATTTTCGTTGCAGATTTTATTCATTAAATTTAAAGTCCACCAGGGTCCACGATAGGATTCAAATCTGTGTCCTCAGAACGTTAGCCTGGGGCCTCCGGACTACTAGCCCAGTGATATTAACACTGCACCGCCACATCCACAACATGACAAGAAACAGGAAACCATGGCAAATTCCTTGCCTCTGCAACAAAAACAAAATTACCAGCGAAACTCACCAGGTCTGGCAGCATCTGTGGGAAGACAACAGGAGTTAACGTTTTGAGTCTGGTGACTGTGTCGTGGGGGAGAGGGGACAGGAAGAGAGGCACTGAGGCCAAATCCAGTACCTCTCACCGAGGTCAGCTGCCTCAGACTGTCTTCAAGGCCATGTGTGCGCCCACTGAAGCATTCACGCTGAGCTCCAAAGCTACTGCCTTCTTTGGCAGCCCACTACACTCACCTGATCTGTTGAGGCAGACGTCTGTAATATTTCAACCAATGTGTCTCCAGCTTGCGATCTGATTATGTCCACGATTAGCTGTTTAGTGCTAAAAGGACAGAAGTGAGTTTGTAAACACGATCTTTAGAACACTTCGATTTACTTTTAATACCAGCCAGGAATAAAAAAAAAAGAGATTTGCAGTCTCTGGAGAGAGGTTCAAACTGCCCGATATTTTCTATTAGCAGCCTCCAACAGCTTAAATGCTCAAATTTCTGTTTCTCCAGTTTTGACAAAAAGTCATCGACCTGGAACACCAAATCTATTTCTTTCTCCACAGATGCTGCCTGACCTGCTGAGATTTTCCAGCCTTTTTAAAAAACTGCTCTTACCCCAGAGTTCTGATGTCCGCAGCACCAAGCTTTTACACAAGTAAAGATTCCACGGCAACACAATCGCCTCTTAAACCACTGTCAAACATGCATGACCTCCACCAGAAATCTGTGTTAAGCACTGCTATTGCCATATGCAGGGACTGAGCTGCCTCCTACAATCCTGGGAATTCCTACAGTGCAGAAGCAGCCTTTTGGCCCATTGATTCCACATCGACCCTCGGAAGAGCATCCTGACCAGACTCCCCCCCCCTACCCTAACCCTGTACCCCTTTATTTCTCATGGCTAACCCACCTAGTCTACACACCCCTGAACACTACGGGACAATTTAGCACGGCCAATCCATCCTAACCTGCACATCTTTGGACTGTGGGAGGAAACCGGAGCACCCGGAGGAAACCCACACAGATGTGGGGAGAATGTGCAAACTCCACACATTGGCTCGAGGGTGGAATTGGCACTGAGGCAGCAGTGCCACTGTGCCGTTGTCCTTTCTGTATTGATAAGCCTCTGCTTGGATTCCATCGTCCACTTGCTCAGTGCAGGTCTATGCTGCTACGACAGACTTCGGTGAGATTCTGTACGAAACAGGGCTCACAGCTGAGGCTTCCCCTTAATGGCAATGACTGCAGCCACTCAGACAAACTTCTGTATTTCCAGAGCAGAGGGAGGCCATTTGGCCCATTATTCCTATGCTGGCTCCTCGAAAAAGTGTCCCACAAGACCCACTACCTCTCCCTACAGCCATGCTCAATTTCCACCCCCCCCGCCCGCCCCGCCCCGCCCCCGCCCCCCCGCAGTCAATTCAGTGGGGATTGTGACTGAATTTACTGTCAGGCAATGCATTTGAAATTGGAATAACTCATTTTCCCAAGGGAAAAGACACCTCGCCTCCTTTCACCCTTTACCGTCCCTGGTAAACATTCAGCTGGCCTGGCCTAGCTGACATACCTGAGCAGCAAACCTCTGGTGTTGTCTGCCCCATCACCACTGCTCTTGTAGATGTCAAATTTGTTGGTGAGCGTTAGTGAGACCTCCATCTTGTTGAGCTGGGCCATGGTTTGGTCAGCATGGGGGTCGTTCGCATCGACAGAACCTTCACCTGTGGAAAAGGAATTGGTTGTAAGTTAGTGATAGAGCCAGGAGGATTATAAAGCAGCAGCTCAGATCCAGCAGATGCAGAGTTAATGGGAATTGAAAGTCAATTGCTCCTGCTAACCTTTCCACTGAAATGGAGCACAGCAACAGATAGTGTACTCTGTGGTGTTTCTGTTCTATTCAAGTCTCCTCCCACCAATGCACCCAGTTCTCCCGTGCTTGTATTCCTCTCTCCTTCATGTGTTTATCCAGCTTACCCCTTCAATGTATGGTGAAGAAGAATAAATGTTTTCACACAGAGCTGGTGCGTGTCTGGAACGAGCTGCCAAAGTAAGTGGTGGAGGCTGGTACAATAACAACATTTAAAAGGCATCTGGATGGGTACATGAGTAGGAAAGCTAGAGGGATATGGACCAAATGCTGGCACATGGGATGAGATTAGTTTAGGATATCTGGTCAGCATGGACAAGTTGGAACGAAGGGTCTGTTTTCGTGCTGTACAGCTTTCGGATTCTAATATATCTCTGCTATCCACCAACACCACTCATTGAGAGAGAGAGACTGCATTCCCCCCATTCCCATAGCACTGACCCTCTGACAGCATGGCATTGACCCCCTGACAGCGCAGCAGTGGCACTCAAAGTGTTGGCCTTTGTTTTGTGCTCAGGAGTCCTGAGTGAATCTCTAATCCATAGCCTTCTGAGACTGAGAGATTGGAGGGAGAGAATGGCATCCACTACTTCAAATGGAAAACTCCTTTCAGTCACTTTGCGCTTGTCAACATCTGTGGAGTAGATCGATTCTGAAGCACAGAAAGGATGAAGTACTCACCTAGAAGTGATTCGACTGTGGGTACATCACCAAGGTCCTTTAACAGCTCATGAAGAGGGTCACTGCATTCAGCCAAGAGCGAATCCTGATGCTGGAGCAGCAACTGGGGAAGTGACAGACAATGTTATACACCACAGGTGCAGCCTGTCACAAAGAAACTCATGGAGGGCCACAGAACAGCATCAGCTGTTAAAGCAGAAAGTGCCACTTGGATAACACAGTGTGGAGGCTGGAGGAACACGGCAGACTCCAGCATCGACAGTTCTTACTATCTCCAAATGCCACCTGGAGGTTAGTTTAGAAATCCAAGGCAGTGCATAGGGAGCTCTAAACCTAACCAACACTCCCTTGATGTGAATGGGGGAGGGGGGGGTGCGGGTGCAACAACAGCCACTAGATCTCGTGGTTACCAATGCCTAGAGAAAAGTGACATGTAGAGTGTCAGGCTGTGTGCTTTCATGTTTCAGGAGAGAGGAGAGGTTGGATTAATTTTGTTTTTAAAGTGCTTTAACTGTTAATTTGGTGCTTGCAAAATTAAACAGCTGAACAACTGGCTCAGCCCTCAATGTCGCCAGGTCCACATGGAGAAAGACCAGGGTGGGACGGGAGTCAGAACACAAAGCATTGTGTCTCAAGCAGGCTTCAACTAAATGATTCGAAATTGGGCACACAAAAATAAATCTCACATTTGCTGGAATATAAGGAGTCTGGCAGTTTCAGATTAAATTGTGGCTAATCTGTGTCACAATTCCATTTACTTAGTTCCATCGGTAGCTTCTACAAAATATCCTGCAATCTCATTGTCGAAGTGAGAGAGAGAGAGAGAGAGAGAGAGAGAGAGATTAGAGATCACCTGCCTGTGGTAAAGCTGCAGCTAAGAGGATAGCTAAGGCAGGATCCAGCAGTCCACAGAAAAGTCAAGACAGTTCCAAAGAGGGTCAGAAGTCTGTGGAACAGGGGAAGGCTGGATCATTGAGCACATCCAAAGCCAAGTCTGATAAATTATGGAGTTGACAATTATTGGGGTCATAGACACAAAAGTGAATTGACACCATGATCTTGTTGAAAGGTGAGGCAGACTTGCAAGGCTAAATGGCCTCTTCCTGCTCTCAAGTCTTACATACCAGGCACAAGTCAGTACTCCTCACAGTTCTGAGGAAGGATCGCCGACCTGAAATGTTAACGCTAATTTTTTCTTCACAGATGTGCCAGACCTGCTGAGCTTTTCCAGCAACTTCTGGTTTTGTTCCCGATTTACAACATCCACAGTTCTTTCGGTTTTAATTTACAAGTCGGTACTCCCAGGACAAAGACAAGTTTAGGGTTCAGAGCCCTCATATGCTATTCCACAGCTGATACCCTTGCCCACCCTTGCCCTCCCTCCAGGGGAGCCACAAGGATATCGCCCTCCACACTCACCTTGTGAGTGTTAATCAGCTCGCCGACTGTTATGTAGATAACTGGCTTGTTAAGGCTGACCATTTCAGAATACTCATCCACATTAAACCATTCCTCAGGTTCAGGAACGTCACAGGCTGCGCGGAAAAACTCCCTGGAATTCACCAAACAGAAGATATTCATTTAAAATTATGAACTGTGAAACATTTCCACCCCCTGCCAGCCAACAGTAGGTACAACACAGAAGCCCACATGGTTTCAAGCAGCGGTCACTCCATCTTCAAACTGAATGCCTTTCAAGTGCAACTTACTGCTCAGAGTACAGTTTAGCTTTGATATATTTGATTGCAGCTTGGCTGACACTTTATGGAGCTGAATGGGACATGGTGTGGCACCAAGCCAAGGACATCCAGGTGTGTTTTCAGCTCCATGTTAAATCTATTTGCTAATCTCAGGAGAAATAGCAAAGGGTCACCAATGCTCTCCTGGGTTATGGGAGGGTGAATGTATAAAATTCACACATGAATGGAGTGCTCACCCAGGGACTACTTCTGGAAAATGCCTGCCTTTAGATCACAAGGTTCTGGTCAGCTCAGTGGCAAATTCTTACCCCGCTGGCAAAACATTCGCTGACACTCAACGGGTAAACATTCTTCCCCCTCCTTGCCTTAAGTGAAGCCGGTGGGCAATTGGATATTGAATGACGGACAGTGTCCATGGTCATGGAGAGAAAGAGGCAGAGAGTGGATTTTAACCAGATGTTTAATCTCAGCACTCCCCATTCCCTCCTCAAACCCCGAAATGGCCCCATGGGCACTTACCGCACTCTGTCACTTACAATCTGCAGATACAGTTGGAGACTGCAAGTGCAGCCAGATACCTGTATCCACATCACAGCTAGCCTTGCAGCTGGCCTCATGAACACAAGGCACCTTTCAGTCACGGACTTTGGGCTATCGAGCCTGCAATGGCTCTTTGAAGGAACTGTACAAATCAGTCCCAGGTTACAAGGTTAGAGACTTTTAAGCGACTCTTGGATAGGCACATGGAGGATAGTAAAATGTAGGGTATGCAGGGTAGATTGACCTTAGTAGGATAATAGGTCGGCACAACATCGTGGGCCGAAGGGCCTGTACTGTTCTATGTTCTGTGTTCTACAACGATGTTGCACAAAAACCTGAAAATTAGTTCTCTAGCTGGTGTCAAGCTATCTCTTGAAAGATCCAAAATCTACTTTCATCACCATTTTAGGCTAGTATACTTTGGTTCCTAACAAACCTCGGGCTGAAGAAAAGATTCTCGTTTCCCCCCCCAGCTCTATGACTGACTATTTTCAATCTATTACCTCTGCCTGATCTACTCCATCAAATTCTCCCAATTCTCCCAACCTGCATTATCAAATCATTCTCAATTTTCAACACCTCCCACCTGGTGCTTCATCAACCTCATCTGCTCAGAGGATAACAAACCCAGATACTCCAGCCTTGTCACATGAACTGACATCCTTCATCCCCTGTTCCTGTTGTGGTGAATCTCCCTCTTCACCCTCCCTGTGGGTGTCGACATCCTTCCCAAAAATGCAGGGCCCAGACCCAGACATGACCCTCAACCTAGGGCCTCACCTGGGAAACTGGGTGTAACTTCCTGTTCTGTCAAATGCCTCATTGACGAAGCAAAAGTATTCCCACCATCTTCTTTGCTTTGCTCACCACCTTCAATGATGCGCGAACATGTACTCCACCCTGCTTTTGCACCCCAAACCATCAACGTGTAATAATCAAAGACTCACTTTAAGGCTTCCCTCCCTAACTCAGGGATAAATAAAAGAAAGTCCCACATTTATAATGCATTCTTCACACCAGAGGATGTCTCAAAGCACCTTCCAACCAATGAAGTACTTTCTGAAGTTGAAAAGTAGGAAACGTAGCTGCCAATTCACACACAGTAAGATCCAGTAAACAGCAATTTGATGATGACCTGGATATTCTTTTAAAAGTAAAGGCGATGTTGGTCATTGGATTATATGGGCCCATGGGCACCAGGAAAAACTCAACATGCCAACCAAACCCCTCCCCTCAACGCAACCACTTCTCAACCACACTCCTTCAAATCAGTAGCAAGTAATCTTTTACACTCACCCTAACACAGACAGAATGGGCGGGGAATGCGACTTGTTTGAAAGGTCACAATTTTGACAGCGCAGTGCCCCTTATTACTCAAGGTCAAATTACAAACCGAACCCTGTGACACAGGGGCAAGACAGCTACCAACTAAGCCGTGATTGACACAGAGACTATGGTTAATTGGAGCTGCGTTGCTGTCAGTGAGGAGCAGCAAACTCCTGTCAAAATGAATCAGTCACTTGTGGGGTTAAAGAGCTTAGCCAGACTGTCAATAGCAACCCCAGGCTGTGGGTGGGAGATGTTGAATCTTCTTTATGACTGTCTGTTCCAGCAGTAACATCTGGCCTTCTACCGTGCATCAGAGGAGAACTAGACTCGCCCTTACTAAAGGGCGCAACAAGCATCAAAGGAGCAGACATGAAAGAAAGCATCACTTTTCCCCCTTTTCAGAGACTGCTCCGCAGGAACAGATAAACAGCCTGACAACAGGATCTCATTCCCAGTCTCCTCCTCTTAACTTTTTGTAAGCGGGAGAAAGTTAGAATAAACACACATGAGCAGAAACTTGTGTGGAGTAAGAAACAAGTTTCCCGATGGTTTAACAACTAGGTCTAAACCAAATTGGAAAAAGCCCCAAATCTGATCCTCAAGAAATTTCCAAAAGGCTCAATAGATGCAGATTAATTATGAGATAGAATTATGACCCATCACTTGATGAAATATTGCTCCCTCAACCAGCATCACTAATAATTGCCATGTTGCTATGCACAAACTGGTTGCCACGTTTCCCAACATTACAGCAGTGACAGCACCTCAATGATTGTGGAGCACTTTGAGGTAATTTATTACCTTAAAAGGTGCTAGATGAATGGGGGCTTTTGTTGAACATCACAGCTGGACTGAGGGTGTGCACTGGTCGGATTCCACCACCAGTCTGCTTCAGTTATATAGCATGTTACAACATCTGGAGTAACATGTACTTTAGTAGACTCCTTAGTTAAGGAAAGATGCAAAGGTGTAGGAAGCAGTTCAGGGATTTATCAGACTAATACCTGGAATGGGTTGGTCGTCTCATGAGGAAAGTTTGAACTGGCCAGGTTTGTATCTGGTTGCAACACAAAATCCTGAGGGGTTTTGGCAGGGAGGATGGCGAGAGGATGCTTCCTTTCATGGGAGAATGTAAAATTGTTTGTGGGGGGGGGGGGGGGGGGGAGGGTTTCCCAAACAGGGTTGTAAGACTTTGTTTCCGTGACCTTTTGAAGTAAAATATGTCTTTGAATATTCTAATCAGAGGTGGATGGATTGGAGGTAAGCAATGGGGTGAAAGGTTATTGGGGGAAAAGGGTAGACTGGAGATGATGGTCAGATCAGCTGTGATCTTAGTAAATGGTGGAGCAGGCTCGAGGGCCGAATGGCCTGTTCACGAGCACTTGACCACACTGAACCGCTTCCAACATTCTTCCTTAAGTAAGATGAATATGGTACGCGTTACTCCAGATGTGGCCACAAGTCAAGATCAGAGTAGCAATAGTTGAGGAACAGGGCCATGTCGTTTGGTCCAATCAGTGAAAACAAGGTGGCTGATTTGAGCAGGTGAGAGATTGTAAACTTTGATCACGTGAACAAAAAAAAATGCAGAATATTCTTTTGAATGAGGCGAAGCTCTGAATGTCAATGCTCAGAGGGACTCAGGTGTAAGCACACAGCAGGATACACCACTGCAAGGTGAGCTCCTGCTGAGAGGGTATTCTAGATCGGGAGAATGGATCGACACTCTTTAGAGTTCAGAAGATTGAGAGGCAATCTCATAAGGAAAGACAAGGTTCTGAAGGCAGATGGATGGGATCAACACTGAGAGGTTGCTTCCCCCCTCAGGGCTGGGGAACCTAGAAATTGGCAGAGGGTGGGGGGAGCAGTCTCAGGATGAGGGGGTGACCTTTTCAGACCAAGATGAAGAGAAATGTCTTCACCCCAAAGGAGGTGAATCTTAGGAACTAAGACCCTGATGATGACCCCAGAGGATCAGAAAGATTGCTGGTCTCTCAAAGAATTAAGCAATGTAGCGAGCAGTTGGGAAAGTGGAGTTGAAGCTCCAGATAAGCCAAAATGGCACTGAATTTGGGAGTAGGCCCGATGGGCTGAATGGAGTTCTCTTATTTCTCATGTATTTGTACTTGGCTTCATGATCAGGAATGTACATGACAGAGAGGAAATACATTGAAAATTTCCTAATCTTTATACAGAGAAAAACTGTATAATAGCAGCAAAATGAGATGGTGCAGTGCAGTGTAACAACGTTCTTCCATCTCTGGGAAATCTGAGAACAACCTCTAACCCCAGGAGCTCACCTCGCTGTGATGTACCCACTGCGTGCTTACACCTAAGTCCCTCTGAATGTCGTCATTTCAAACGTTGCCTCATTTTTAAAAAAATCTCTTCTTTTTGTTCTTGCCACCAAAGTTTAGAAGAGGCTTTGCTCCAAATGAAACTATTCACAGGTACAATTGGTCAAATGGCCTCCACTTGTGTTGTAAGAATCTGCTTGCAGATGAGGAACTGAGAGACCTTGGTCAGCACCATCAATCTACACTGTATCTGACCGAGAGTGGTTCAGAAGGCAGCATGTCAGGATTTGTACACTGTATTGATACTGTTTCTATCCATCCTGAAGGGCTAATAGGACATGTAGAGTGAGCTTTACTCTGTATCTAATCTCATGCTGTACCTGTCCTGACAGCGTTTGATGGGGAACAGTGTAGCTTTATTCTGTATCTAACCCTGTGCTGTCCCTGTGCGGGGAGCGTTTGATGGGGAACAGTGTAACTTTATTCTGTATCTAACCCCGTGCTGTCCCTGTGCGGGGAGCGTTTGAAGGATGAGAGTGCTGAGAGAACTTTCCCCAACCCGTTCTATCCCTGCCCTGGGAGTGCTTGATGGGGATCAGTGCAGAGAGAGCTTTACTCTGTATCTAATTCCGTGCCGTCCCTGTCCTGGGAGTGCTTGACAGGGTACAGTTTAGATGGAGCTTTACCGTGTGTCTAACTCCATATTGTCCCTGTCTTGGGAGTGTATGTGCACATCAATATACTCTGCAAAGTGGGGAAAACTGCTTCATTCTTAGGGAATGGGGAGCCAGCTAAATACATCACGTAAATAAAGAGCAAGATGTAGAGGCTTAAGACCTGAATCGTTGCTGGGAGTGGTACAAATAGTCATTCATGGTGCGGAGCTGACCAGTCTCTCTTTCGAAGGTTTTGCTGGAGGCAGCGTGCTGCAGCAGTTTTGCGATGGAGCCCAGGTTGCGGCGGTGGTCCGTGTGCAGCCCACCTCCTGCACTGACATCAATGATATTGAAGCCATCCGGGGCCACAATCGCAGGATTCATGTAGCGATAGTAAAGCAGGTTCCCGACGATCTGCAACACATGAGGAAATAAACAAACAGTGCCCACACTCAAATGACTAACACTGTGGGGAAATTGAATGGCTAGGAGCAGTACAAGTGCTTCGTTTCTCAAATTACTTATTTGTCATTATCATTTTTACACACACTTGTTACTGGGCATATCTGGAGTACTATTAGTCCCTAAAGTCAGTGATCCTGAGGACAATTGCAGCAGGTTTTCTAATGTCACTCTCTCCTCCACAGCCAATAATAGAAATTTTTTTGGATAGACGGGTATGATGATAGTGGTGCAGAGGTTGGGAGGGTGTGGTGCTGATGGTGGTGGTGCAGAGAAGGACCCTTGTGCAGTTATGTAGTTAAATGTCACACATGTGGTGTTATCAAGTGAGTCACCTCAGCAACCAGGCCCTGACCATTACTGCCTCCCGCAGGATTTTTCCGCTGAGGAAACTGACAGGCTTCTTACTCCAAAGCTTGAGCCCATTCTGCACTTGGGCAGATTGCCCACGAGCTAGCTATACAAACTGTGGGCGGGAGCAAGGAGTGACAGAGGGTGAGGGGGGACCGACAGAGGGCAAGCGTGATGGGGGTAAGAGTGGGGCGAAGACGTGGGGAAGAGCAAGAGAGGGTAAAAGTGACGGGAGGAGATGGGGAGGAAGAAAGTGGGCGGGGGGGGG